TAATAATGTTCAAAAAATGCCAAGAGTGCAATCGGGAATTATTGTTATAAATCGAAAGTACACTCTGTAGGAAGTACGGTGGTATATTTTATTTGGCCAGACGTCCTCGGGTTTAGCCGCAGTTTAAATAATAATGTTCAAAAAATGCCTAGAGTGCAATCGGGAATTATTGTTATAAATCGAAAGTACACTCTGTAGGAAGTACGGTGGTATATTTTATTTGGCCAGACGTCCTCGGGTTTAGCCGCAGTGACCACTTTTATCGGAGAAAATTTGAATATCAAATCTTGTATTTTATGAATAAGTATATCATATTATATATCAATGGAAAGGTATGGATGAGAGGAATCGAAATCTGATAGAATTTCTTAAATCTGACATCATGGGTAAAAGTTATATCAAAATTAAGAAATTTAGTAACATTTATGCAGGTTTTTTTATATTGATTAACGTAATTATTGTACATCATTTATATCAATTAATAAAATGCTCACAATGATAATTAATTTCGCGAATTAAAAAAATATATAAAATATTTAATATAAAATTTTTGGCATTTTACCAATTTACATTGAACTTTATCCTTTACTATACTCATTGTGATTTTTAACAAATTACATAGTGTGAATTAAGTTAAACAATAATTGTAGAGTTTTTAGTATTAATTTTTATACCAGGTTTGGCAGCAAAAATCAATGAATTCCGGGAGCTCCCCATACCAAGTTGAGACCCCCGCAGTGAGACGGAAGTCAGACTCTGATTCCGGGAGACTCCCGGGCAACTGTGAGCTTCTGGCAACACTAATAATTCAATCTATTATACATATCATAAACTATAATAATTATTCATAACATTAATGCTAAAATAAATTATTTGCGTCAGTCTAGCCTAGAAGATTAAACTAGAATAAATTGCAAATAAATTATAAATTTAATTGCTTAATTATTTAGAGGATAAATTATTTTAAAAATACTTTTAGTCTATTGAAACAATTATATTAAGATGGTTATCATGAAGATACTGTTATACAGTAACATGAACTTATATAAAGTAAAATTTAGTGATTAGATCATTACAAGAGAATAGAAACCATACGCTCGGCTTCGGGCCAATGGGTCTGAAAATGTGCCGCGAAATGTAGTCAACTACTGGTGAGCCCTCTGCGTCCGTATTGTCCCGCCGGACAACAAACCCGCGCCACTCGACCGACACCTCGTCGTCGGTGGTGTCCGCCCGACAGGACTCACATCGAGTGCTATTTACGGCCGACGAGAGGCCCAACGGTAGCGCACAAAACATGTCTTCAATATTTTGAAAGTCCATTACTATGTCTAACATAAGGGCCACAGAGTGTTGGGTACGGCCGGACACCAAAACGAGCTCAGACTGTAGCTGTGGTTGTGGTTGTTGTCCGCACGCACTCACAGTTGTAGTAGTGGTCACATCCGACACCTCATCGTTTCCTATTAACACGTGTTATAAATAATAGGTTTATATAACTGTTTAGCGCCGATAAACATATTGCAATAGTCTTGACAAACGCTCTCATCGTGTGTTTGCTTAAATAAAATTAATATTTTCAAAAGCAATAATTAATTATAATCTGTAAATACTTACGCAATACTCTAGGACTGACTTATAATTGTGTAGTAAATGTGTATTATATTATGGAAATAAATAATGAATTTATTTTAAAATTGGCCGCAACTGAGAAGTGCAGGGAGTGGTCATACTGTCCGGTATATTATAGTTTAAACTAATTACAAAATACAAAATATTTAAACTCAGTTTCAGTTCAATTTCTAACTTCTAGAGAGCAGTCATTGTCTGATAAAATGAAAATCCCTTCAAAAAAATAATTATTAGAAGTCATTGTGTTTTTTGCACTAAACAAGTCCTCATATATTTGCCAACAATTGAAATATTAATTGTTATGATTTATGACAACTTTCAGAATATGAAATTATTTTTTGGGAAAATATTGTGAGCTAAATTTTTCAAAATATTTCCGACCGACACATTTTAAAATTTTTCAGAATAAAGATCAATCATCCGATTTTAATGAAACTTATTTGGTGCCTAGGACGTTACCCTAAATTATAAAATTAATTTTACATTTCTACCTCCACTGCATCTACCCGAAGACAAAGATTTATTAATTACAAAAGTGTTAAAATGAATTAGCAATATCACTAGGTTAACAAAAGTCATTTAGTACTATTGTCAATAAATTAATATCTCTATAAATGTATTTTTATTATTTTTATAAATACTAATTATTGGTTTATTGACACAATCCTTGTTATAATCAGCACTTTTATTAATTTATTTATCGATTACAAAACTATAAAAATAAATATCATTATTGAAAATAACTCATAACTATTAAGGTTTTAAACTTCTAAACAGTTTTAAAGATATTTTATTATTTGAAGTTAGTTTTACTTAAAAATATGATTACAAATATTATATTTAATGTATGCTCTGAAATATGGTTTACAATTTGCTCTGAATAAATATGAACTTGATGAATTAACATAGATTTGTACTAGAAAACACAAGTAATCCCAGCTAGTACATATGACTTTTATTACATTTATCAAATTAAACATTATAAATTAAATTTTTATTTAAAAACAAAAGCAATTATGTAATAACATTATTTCAATTTAAATATAAATTAATAATGTTGCAATTTATGTAATTAAATAGATATAAAATATAATTCAACCATGAATTTGTTATATTAATACAAATGTAAAATTATAAAAATTAAATTAGTTCAACAAATATAAGATCCTTTCATTTCATAGATAATGTATAGAACTATAAAATAGAAAATAAAATGTTTTGTGAAAGTTATTTATTTTGGTTCATTAGGATTAGGGTTCGTAAACCTGCTAAACACAAGTTTCAAAAGGTGGTTTCACTTATTTTAAATTATATACCATATGTATAATAAATTTTATAATATTAAAAACTACTAGGTGGTAATACTTGTCTAATTCAACGTTCAAAACCTAAATCTAAAAGTTATTATTTTTAGTTAGTTTTGCACTAAAATAGTACTTATTATTTGCCAACAATTTATACATTAATTCTTATGATTTATATTCAGTTTTAGGATTTGAAATGTTCTTAATATGTGTTGAAACGTATTTTTTATTGTTTTAATACTCTTATTGACACAATTTTTGGTATACTCAGCACTTTTGGTAATTAATATTTTTATTTCAAAAGTGGTGAAAATGACATATCATTTATAAAATCAAAAACAATGAATATCACTATTTTATAGTCCTTATTACATGTTGCAATGTAAAAGCTATCGATGCCATATTATGCCTTATGAATATCATTGTTTTTTATAACACAAAAATAGTTTTTAAAAATATTTGAATTTATTATTTAAAAAATTTAAAAATAAAAATTACAGATTCTTTATTAATATTATATTTATTGTTTGTATTAAATATTAACAAACATTAATTTAAAAGACTATAATATGTGATAAAGCCACATGTTTAAAATAAAAATACAATTTTCATTTATTGATAAAATAAAAAGTTTAATGGCACGAGCTAGAGCATTCCAACATGTGTGTTTTATCTGTATATTAGGATTAGTTACAAGTTAAGATGTAAACTAAATTATATAAATTTGTAATTTTTTACACAATATCGCCATGAAGAATTCTTAAGAGATATCGCGATTACCCCCTCACCTTAATCAGGAAATTAACATTAAAACCCTACTAATTGTTCACATTTAAACTGGAATACATATAATACATTTAAACAGATGTCGGTAATTGTCTAATTCTCTCATAATTGTTATGATTAGTAATAATATAGTAGTCATTGTTTTTTAGCACTAAAATAGTACTCAAATATTAGTCAACAATTAAGACATTAATTCTTAAGACTTATATTTAGTATTAGGTAATGAAAAACTTTAATATGTGTTGAAATAAATTTTAATGACTTGATATTTACTAATATATTCAGTGATTACAAAGTAATGAAAATGCTCTATCACAATCAAAGCAAAAACAATATAAAGGTTAGTTTATTTTAAGTCACCATTGTCAATGTCAAAGTTAAGGTTACATTATTTTTTTACTATAAAAGAAAAATTACATTTACAAATATTTTTAAATTTAAATTAATCTAATGTAACTATTTACATATCAACGTGGTTTATTTTAAAAAATTTTAGTATTCATATCTGTTTAATTCAATAATCTACTTATTTTAAATAATTAACAGTTAAAATAAATATACATAGTTACAAGAAGCAAGCTTAATCAAAATTAATTGTAGTTAATTTGATTTTAATTAAAAACAATTTTAATTGTACTAGATCGCAGTTCTTGTCTAATTATTTTTTTATAAAGCAATATTATTAAAAATAAGAATTTTAATTAATTTTACACTAAAAATAGTACTCAAAAATTTACTAACAATTAAAACATTATAATATCTTGTTATTTACATTTAGTTTTAGGTAATGAAAAGTATAATATGTGTTGGAGTAGTTTTGTCATTTTCAATAATTTATTTTAATTGCATTATTGACACAATTAATGTTAGAATTAACACTTTTACTAACATATTCCATAATTACAACATTAGTTATAACGGAGTATAAACACTATTAAAAACCAAAACAATTACAATTTATATTTGGTTAGTACTTAACTGTTTTAAAACTATTGACATGTTTACTAAAATTTACCATAATTACAACCTAGGTTATATGAGTTTTTTTTATAATAATAAAAATTAATATCACTAGTTTTCTAAAAGTCATCAATGTCATTGTCAATGTAAAGTTTTATAATTAAAGTTGAATATAAATAATTTATATTTCAAATAAAAAATAAACAAATAAATTAATTGTAATATTTTATTTTCATAATTATAACGATATTACAATATTTATAATTCTTGTATTATACGATTTACATATATTTACTTGAATAAAATTTGTTAAATTTAAGGAAACTTAATTTTAAACTTATTTCTTGATTAAAATACACACTACAAACCAGTGGTTTCTTTATCATGTTAATAATGAAACTTTATTTCTGTCACGTTGATCATTATGATCATGTTTACAAACCTGGCAGTTGTACTCCAACAACTAAACTAAAGTAAACTAAAATATCGCTCTAGATTTGCCCTAGCCGAACAACTATCTACAAACTAATCTAAAATTAAAATATTTTAATTATTAAGGTAAAAATATATTTTTATCTTAATAAATAAATACTTGTTTTAATAATTAATAAACACATAACTTGATAAGTTTATGGGAAAGCTAACTTATTAATCACTGACTGTTAGTCTAGTGACGGATACTATAATGGGTTCGCATAGAAGTACGTGTCGGCCCTTAAGGAAGCGGACGGGAACATCGGTGGCCGGCAAACGATTAATCTGAAAGCGTTGGCACATCTTTGTTAACACAAGTTTCAGCTCCAATAACCCAAACCGCATACCAATGCAATTGCGAGGGCCGGCGCCAAAGGGTAGGTACGTATAGGGTATCAGCAAATGCTTATTCTCGGGCATAAATCTATCAGGGTTAAACGTAAACGGTTGCGGGTAATAGTCCTGATTGTGATGTATGGAGTATAAGGGTATTTGTATGAGCACTCCCTTCTCCACCGTAAACCCGGTGTCGCCCAACTGTACGGGTTGTGTGACCTCTCTGTCCAGTCTAAGGAGTGGCGGGTATTTGCGCAGTGTTTCCGATATGAGTGCGTCAATGAACGGCAGTCGCGAGAGTCGGTCGCAATCGACTTCACCCGACTGGCCATCGATGACCGCACGGGTCTCGTCGCGCAGTCGGACCTGAAGTGCGGGATTGAGTGCCAACTCATACATACAATAGGCCAGAGTGTTGGCTGTGGTCTCGAAGCCGGCGGTGAAGAACTGGAAACACTGGCCCACAATCTCGTCTTCGGTCAGTTTGCGCTCAGACACGTTGGCCAGCGCTCGGGTGTGGGCCTGGCGTTCGTCCTTTCCTTCGGCCAAATGGTGCGCTTCGTTGCCGTCTATGGTCTCCGGGGCTGAGGTCTGATCGTCGGTGCGCTCGACGTCCAGAAAGAGCTGCAAAAAGTCTCCGTACCGTTCGGTTCCGTTCCGTCGGTTTTGGATCATATTTCGGGCAAACGTTATGATAAAATCTAGATCTTTTGATTTGTTGATTAACCATCGGATGGCCTGTATTTAGTGATAAGCAAACAGACATTTTAAAAATAATTATTAACGCTTACAAGCAATATGCATAATTTGTTCGCGAGATAATTGTGTTTAATGCAGATATAATAGTAGTTTATGACACTAGATATAGATTAGTAACATTGTCCCGGTTACTAATGGCCATATACTGACCTAAGGCAGTCGCCGAAACATTTATTATATGAATATTCTAGCTATTATCAAGCATATTGCTTTAATAATAAGCACTCAGTTTACAAGTATTAACTCTGTCCTAATGCATATTGCTCGCTAATGCTACAAAACAAGAAAGTAAATATGTGTTTTTAGCGCAATTATCATAACAATTATTAGATAATTTATGAAGGTTAAAATGTAAACACTCTAATTCATCCTTTTGACATTAACTTTTCAACCCAGATTTAGTTGTTTATAATTACCTGAATGTTAGTGATACGAGTGGGTAATAAGACCATAGCTATGATCTTCCAGTAGGCCATCATAAATATGTTTGTGGCGGTTGTAGTGAACCTATGGTTTGGGTCGTCATAGGTGTTGGTCTTGAAGGCGAAGGCGCACCGAGCGATCACATCCATCGTATAGGCGCTGGTCTTCTGCTTCAGATCAATGTGTGTCTCATTGGCGGCCATTTTGTCCAAATGTGCCATAAAGTCGTCGCAACACTCGTGGATGAGTGAAACGGTTTGTTTGATTTTGGATGCCGTGAACGCAGTGCTAGCTATGGCTCGGATGCGCTTCCAGTCGTCGTTTTTGGCCAAAAACATAACAGTTGTGAACACTTTATGTCGGGTTCCGATGTCTCGTCGGTTTCGCATCGAATGGAAGTCTTTCACCAGAACTTGTTTTATGAGCGCCGGCTCTGAGACTATTAGCTCCGGTTTATTGCCACCGAATGTACTGAAAGGTTAAATCAAATGTATTTTATTATACGTTATAATTATTGTAATTTTGTAAATATGTATTACCCGTAGAGTTGGCCGTATCTGTGATACCACTCTAACTCCAAATGTGGCAAAGCTTTGAAGAAAAAGGACAAAAAGTTACCAAATATTGGTATCGGTTTCGGACCCAAAATATTTCTGTCCGACCAGTAATTGAAGGCTTTCATCCGTAGACTATATTTGTATTCATTTATATTTAGTAAACATAATGAACACAATTAAAACTTACTTATAATAATAGGCTAGTAATGATGTTAAAGTGGTGATTACTAATATCCATTTATTAGCCAAAACTAATGCAATTAAAGAAAACATGGTTATTTTGAATTTAATTTCTCTTTAATGTAAGTAAGGTAGTTTGGTTAACGCTTTTATAACAAACCAATTTAATTGGAATATCATTAAATGTACATTAACAGATCATAAAATAATATGTAAAATGACCGTGCAAATTATTCAATATGTAAACATTTACACAACAGGGTGTTTCAGGTTATTTTAATAAAATTAAAAAATACGTATTTTAAATAATTAAATTTATTAAAAATAATAATCAAATATTAGTATATTATAATAGATCAAGTTAGATTGAAAAATTATTAATATTTACCATATAAAGGGGCGGTCAACTGATCTCCAGCATGCGGAAAACGCTATATCTCCTTAACTATAAGAGATAATCTGATTCTGTAAAAAGCATTTAAGAGCCTACGCAAGATCTATTGACTAGCCTATCAAAATTTTTTGGTCACGTGGTATACAAAATATGGGACAATTCCGAATGGTCATGTTATAGGTCTAACGGTTAGAAATATAGAGATGGCCCCATGGGTAATTTGTAAAGAAATAAATTCTGCACACAATAGAAAAAGAATTACTAAAATCTAATCACTAGTATAGATTTTATGGCTCAATAAAGACAGGCTTTTCGTAATGCTAATCCTATGAGAAAATTTTAAGTAAGAAATATTGAGATGGTCCCAATACAAAATAGTTAGAGCAAATAATTGTGTACAATATAAAAAAAGAATTATCAAAATCGGAAATGTATTTTAGGTTTTATCAACAAAAGAGTGATGGTATTTTATAATAATATGAATTTTTCCAAAATGTTCAAAATAAAATATTTTGAATAGTATTGGATTTAATGTAAATTATAAAATTTATTAGTAATTATTATGCTTATTCTTAGGTCTAACGGTTAGAAATATAGAGATGGTCCCCATGGGTAATTTGTAAAGGGATAAATTCTGCACACAATAGAAACAGAATTACTAAAATCTGATCACTAGTATAGATTTTATGGCTCAATAAAGACAGGCTTTTCGTAATGCTAATCCTATGAAAAAATTTTAAGTAAGAAATATTGAGATGGTTTCAATACAAAATAGTTAGAGCAAATAATTGTGTACAATTTAAAAAAAAGAATTATCAAAATCTGAAATGTATTTTAGGTTTTATCAACAAAAGAGTAATGGTATTTTATAATAATATGAACTTTTCCAAAATGTTTAAAATAAAATATTTTGAATAGTATTGGATTTAATGTAAATTATAAAATTTATTAGTAATTATTATGCTTATTCTTTATTATAATCTGTTTGTTAAATGAATAAAAAGTATATTTATGAGATATGTCGTTTATAAAAACAATCACTCTTTTGTTGATAAAACCTAAAATACATTTCAGATTTTGATAATTTTTTTTAATTGTACACAATTATTTGCTCTAACTATTTTGTATTGAAACCATCTCAATATTTCTTACTTAAAATTTTCTCATAGGATTAGCATTACAAAAAGCCTGTCTTTATTGAGCCATAAAATCTATACTAGTGATCAGATTTTAGTAATTCTTTTTCTATTGTGTGCAGAATT